TTTTTTTTTTTCCAAGCCTAATTAGAATGTTAATCCAGCAGTGTCTCTTTTGACCTTATTTTTAGGGATATCATCAAGTTCAAAGCACTCTTGACGTTCTGATGACACAAGGCGAGCTTTCGCTCTCAGACTCTGAGACAAAGGTGGCCTTGGCCTTTTTCACAGAAGTTCTGAATCTTTTTCCAGAATTTCCGGATGCTCACGAATATCGAGCGCAATGCCTCTTCATTTTGGTAAGAATATAGCTATGTTGGCCAACTGTTATGAAGAGAAGTTTGTGAGCGGATACTTAATCCTTGATTTCGTTAATGTGGATCTCTGGTCGATGCTAGCGCTTCTGTTATCGTTTTCGAGCTCAAAGAGTTATTTTGCCGTCTTACTTCTCTTGTTGGTCACACCCCTATAGTCTGTTGATGTGACCGCGTTCCTTACAAGTGCGGGACATATTCGCGAATTAGCTCGCTCCTTATTGGAACACCTCGGGAATACTGTTGATAAGTGAATGGAAATATATTTGTTTTGCTCTTATGGTTCGTTTTATATTCCGCAGGGTGATTTTCTTCAAGCTGAGCAGGACTGCAATAGAGGTATATTATTTTTTGTGACAACACCATTCACTACATTCATTCCCCACCCAGATTGCGTAATCTGTTGTATTCTTTACAAACTTTGCTTTCGAATTATCAATCGCAGGCTAGTGTTGCAAATTCTACTGAAAAAGCCTTGGCCCCCTACACTTCAACATACATGTATCACATGATCACAAATGCAACCTTATATCAAATTACTACGTTGCGTCGCCCGGCTTTTGTCATGCTCATTCAGATGATAGCATGCACATGAGCGAAACAGTTCCTGTTGGCTCGTCACGTTACGCCGGGTTTTAGAGCGTTTCACAGCGGGCAAAGGCAAAAATTCAGCACCACTTTCAGTTTACGTCGTCTCGAAATTTATTGAGAGTTTGAAGCAAAAATGAGCAAGAGTTATTTCGAAGACAGCTGAGACGTTTATATAAGCGGCAGTGTTGGCGGGAATGCTCTTGCGCAGTGCGTTTGACCGCTGTAGAACGTCAGTAACGTTGCGAATTTGCGGTTAAAGAAATAAGGAAAGGAATAAGCGAAGAAGAGGCGACTCTTAATCCTTAATCCTTCATTTAATCACATAACACCTACCTGTGTACTGGTAGGAAATATAAAATAATAAAAATGATCAATTCATAAACGCCAAGCAAATACTAAGTAGTAGCTAATCTATAGAAAGGCTAAAAAATTATCATTGATATTTACAATAGTATATACAGGCACTATTTTAAAAATCTTGAACTAACACTGTATACAAAATTTAAAACTTTGAAAAGCACTATGCTTTAAGGCATATAAACTGATCATTGGAGGCAACGCATTCCACAGTTTACTGACTAAAGATGTAAAAGATCGATGCATACACTCCAAATTGAATGGAGGAAGTTCAAACCTTGTGCTGAACCCACGTAAATCGTATGCAACATTCTTAAAATTAAAAAAAATAATAATATAGGTTGCTCCGCGGTCATACAAGCACTTGTACAACATAACTTGTGATTGAAATTGCCTACGTTGTTCTGAAGACCTCATCTCAGCTATTTTTAGGAGGTCGTCGAATGACACAGTCTTCGGATTCACCCATTTCTTTCCGGACCGTATCGCCAACATTGCCATTATCTTTTTTTTCCCTTTTGCAGCTCTCAATTTGACGCAACGCACAAGTGCAGCAGCATTCGATACAAAAATAAAAATCAAGATTCAGCAGGGAGAGTTTGCGGAGGCTCTGGAATTAGTGAATGAATGGCAATTTATTGATCCCGAAGTGAGAGAAAACTTTGATTAACTTTTCAGTCCCTGTTGTCGCTTACTGATAAGTACATGTACTAGTCTAATACTTGTTTATGGGAAAATGGTATATTATGAAAAAATGTATATGTATTTGAAAATTTAATGTAAGAAAGGATATTTCGCTTAGGTAGCACTTATCTTATTGCGGTACTGGCCTTTAGCTCAAAAGGTAAACATTCCTAGCGTTTCGTCGCGTAATTTGCTTCGATGAAGGGCTGATGCTCAAAACGTCAGCTCTACGACTATGAATTCACGTCTTTTAAGTTAATCATCTTTAAGTTGGTAATTAGCTAGCTTCTTGCTTTACTTTCTCGCCGACGAAGCACAATAGTTTGTTTAGAAACTAATAGCTCTTGTTCTCAGCAACTGAAGTCACAGACAGCTAAATCGTACAATTCATAAAATTTTTGTCTCTTCTAGGTTGTTTTAGTGTACCTTTATTTCTTTGCTATGGTTATGCAGACTCTCTCTTGCCGATCAGGGCAATGTATGCAGCCTTTTTCTAATTTATTTTTATTTTTTTCTTAAAAGAATACAGACCTCGACATGATTGAAAGGCGAATTAGTCAAACATTGCTGGCGACGCAACCTTGGAGTGGAACAGCGGAGATAAACCGATGTCAGTCGGTAAGTTAAAACTAACCTGGAAAAAAAATAAGCTACTGCATAGCTGTGAATCTCATATTCACAGCGTGAACTTGTCTCTGTTGTAAGAGACTGTTTGGAAGAGCACGATTGGAGCCACTCAAGGCTGTTCGTTATTAGGTTACTTTCGATGTTACATGCGGCATGCAGTAAAAGTTGGCATCCAAAGACAACACACGACTTGTTTATAGTCGTGCGGCAATGTCACTTCACGAGGCTTTGTGAAACTGGGCAGAGAAGTTAGAATGGCCGCGTTATATAGGACCTGAAATTCTGGAGTTGGGAATAAGCTTCCATCGATATCCTAACTGAGAACTGATAAACTGCTTACTGTTACACTGACAACTGACTAGTATTTCAATTTTTAACTAGAACGAACCATCCAAAACCCCTTATGATTTATTCTTGCTAATATATGCTGAACGTTGTCAGAAAGTTGTTGTTTAAGTCTCCCGTTACATACGTACGTGAAAGAGCGTTTTACCTTTTCAGCTTTCCGATGTGTCATGTGGTCATGAGTCAGGTCATGAAATAACAACAGAAAAAAAAACCAACCAAGCCTGGAGTCAAAGCGGCAACGCGAAGGTCAGCAAACTCGCAAATGTTTTATTTCCATGACCTGGGCCAAAGGCAGCAAAAGAAGCCGATATCTGTAAACTCGCCTTAACTCATTGGCCCCCGTGCCGTCCGTAAACGCCCTTGTAAAACGTGATGCTAGTGGAAAGAAAGGCATGCTGTCATGTTGCAAATGCCTTTTTGAGTAGATTGGAGCTAATTTGGCCCATATCCAGCCTGAAAATCTCCAAAATGTCCAAAAAGTTCGTTTTTGGCAAAAAGCTCCGGGGGTCCATGGGTGAAAGTTAAATGATAACTTATAAGCACGTAACTACCGACTTCTATAATCTTGGACAAAAGTTCTTAATTGGGACACTGATGTAATGCAGTGAATTATCTGAGTTTTATCCTGTTAAAAGCCTGTTGCTGTTCCCACTCTCCACCCAATACAATGTGGAAAATTAGGAGAAATTGCAGGTGCTAGTTTTCAACATTGCATTTGGAGTAGGGAGATGTAGGCAGGTGTAGAGGTATCCGCGTCTGGCGTGTATGCAGGTTAGCTGTGGTCATATATTAGAGCTGTGTACTAGTCTGAAAAAAGGTCTGAAATGGGGTATTTATTTCNTTTTACTGAAGACGTTTTGGCCTCAAGACTGAATGTTTGCTTGTACCAAAAGTTCATTATCGCAAAGTTTATCCGGATAAGTTGGATTAGTTGTTTTCTTGACGGTGTTTGCTTGTTGTTGGCTTCTGATAAAGTTGTGAACTTCTGCATTTGTGAGGAGCGTTGAATTTCTTTTTTGGTCCCGCGAGCCATTTCCTTAGAAAACCAGAAGAAGTATTCACGGCGCACGTAATGCCTGATGTACAGCTTAAGCACTCAAGACGATTTGGAAAAACAGGCCGGATCTAAAGAGATATCCGAGATGCATTTCAAGTCAGCCGTCCTTGATTACAGCAGAATGTTACAGTCTACGCGGTGCACGCAACATTTTCAAAGGAAACGAATTTACGGTCAGCATTCTCATCTAGTGTAACGTCCTCAGTTTTAAATTTGTGTTATTTTATTAAGGGTTAAATGACGACTCTGACGCGAGCAGTGTTTGCAGCATTAGTACTTGCCCAGGCGATTTGGATTACAGAACGAACTACCGCCCCAGGATGCCGACGTTTGAAGACAGCGATCAGGGTATTGTCAGTGATCAACCTAAATCGTCATCTCGTCAAACGAAGAAAGCAGCCGAGAAGTCGTCCAATAAACAAAGCTTGGGAATCCGTCGTAGACCTACTGATGTTCAAGGCCCCTACCGTCTCTGTAGGTACCACGATCGTCCGGAGCTTTGTTGGCAAGGGAAACTATGCGTCTATGCGCACAATGAAGCAGAGAGAGTAGCTTGGGAAGAAGACAGGAAAAAAGGTATATTACTTAAGGCTGCCACAGGCCGGTCATGGAATTATTAAGGCGTTGCTCTCAAGGAAACGGATAATAACTTAGTGAATTTACTATCTGAATGTTCAAAATTAATGTAGATGGATTTTATTGAGAAGTCACAGCGTTCGTTAACGTTGAGTACTGTTAGTAATGATCGCTGGAAAAGTAAAATCGTTTTCAGTAAATATATCGAGGAATATTTGTCAATGTTAAAAGCATAAATTGGATTCTTTTCATTTGAGCAGT